AACACAATAAGGTGATATAAGTGCCGAAGATTAGAGGTGTTAAAAGAGAGTAACAAACACAAAAAAGGAGAGAGGATGATAGTGAATAGGTGTTTGATAGGAAAGAAGAGCAAATCAAGCCAGAGCATCTGCCAACCACCCACATATTATTCCAGAAGACACAAACTAGTTGATGGTGATGATAAACCAACCAGAGATTTAATGGTGGTAAATGATGGTACAAAGTCGACACTTGATCAACACAAGGTTTAATGGCGGTGCAGTAAATGATGGGACCAAAAAAACAAAAAACATCTGACCAACAAGAGGTTTAATGGCGGTAAATGATTGGGGGGATAAAATGACATCTGACAAACAAGAAATTTAATGGCGGTAAATGATGGGACAAAATTGATATTTGAATAAATGGCGGCAAATGAGGGAAAGGATGATGACTGACCAGCATTTTCCAACAAGAATTTAGTGACAAATGATACTACAGTCTACATCTGACCAAAAAGATTTATTATCGGAGCAAAACTGGCCAGTTAACTGCTCTTGCTTGGTCATTTCAGGATTACTTATGGATAATTAACGCGCCCAAAAAAAAAGTTTTTTTTAAATTGAGAACTGTCATAATACAATAATACATAAAAATGCTCTTAAAATTCTTTAAAACCTGCTGCAGTTAAATGTTTTTATGTTCAATACTTCATTTTTTCACAATTTAAAAAAATCTTGATTATCATGTTCCAGAACAGTTCCCTTTGACTTTGAGAAGACTGGGTTAAAACTAAAACAGACAGACGGCACAAACAACTTCAGTATTACTGGTATGAGAGAATAGGCTTCTTTTACTTTTAGAAAAGAGGAATCCTTCAGCCTGTAGTTACTTTAAATGTATAGTTGGATGCTGGTTCTATGGTCAAGCTGAAAAACTGACAAATCTGGTACGGGTTTGGGATCTGGGAGTTCATTACAATAAAAATTATACAGAATAACAATTTTAGCGGCAATACACACAAAAAAAACCTGCAATCACCCCCAGTATATATAATTTTCTTACCGACACTTATTTGAATGTATGTACAATAATTACAACAAATATAAAAGAGTTGTAAATTAAGATTAATGTGTAGAGATTTGCTAAAAATTGACAAATTTTGACCTGCTAATCTATTTGGTAAGTATGCACACTGTCTCTTACAGAGTAAAAGATCTAAAACTTTTCATCTTTATGAAGCAGAAATTCCAATCAACTGACATGCCTTCAGAGAAGTGGCAGAATATCTTTAATTTCAAGATTCAGTATTTCTTACTCACGGAGAAAACATAATGTCTGACCCCTTCCGTTGCAGTAACAGTGGGGCGCGGGTGCATGCATGAACTTTTAATGTGTCATGGTCATATTGAGACCAAATAATCTGGACACATTTTTATTTCAAAGCTAAACATAGAAGAACTGTAATGATAAATGATGACATGCATTTGTGTTGTTATACATTTGTCATTATCAAAAGTTAAAAGGCCGACAAGGCAGCACCAGTAGTCCAGCATGATACCAACTGGGCTACCTCAATCACCGGAGCCTTTCAGTAGTATCAACACTAACAGAAAATATCTCGTCTGAAATGAAAAACAAGAGAGTTGTGTTCAATCAGTCTTTTCAAAATGAGAAGTCACCAGAGAATGTTGACCATGATCAAAGTGGTCGACACAAATCTTTTAAGTGAATGTAAAGGGGGAATGTGAAGTTTTGGTGTGAAAAAACTACAACTACCGGATGAGCCATGAGAGTGAGCATAACTGTTTCCATCTCAGCACAGAGACATCAAACTTTCACATCGTCAATATACACATGTCAAATATGCATTAATTATTTAATTTCAATCACAGGGTGGCATTAGAATACCAAAGACCATAAAGTTTGGAAAAATACTTGCTAAAAGGTTTGTCAAACACATCAAATGCAATCTTACATAAATCAGACACAATTAACATCATAATGATGACAAAATATTTTACAATCTCGTAAATCATTCTCTCATCTCTCCCTCAATCTACAATGGCACAGATGAGGAAAAATGGACATCTTGGTGCAGAAAATAGAAACAAAATGGAGCATAAAATTTTTACCATCAGACCACGTGCAAAATTTGATAAAAGTAGACCTGGCTGATGTACAATATTTATGTGACAAATAAAAATACTGGTGGTACAACATTATTACCATGAAAAGGTTTATAAATGCAATTTAATGCTACGCTGCACAAACGCCTTAGGACAGAAGGAAAAGAGGGGGAGTCACAAGAGCTGCATGTCCACACCGCAACTTTTTTGCCATTTGATTGAAAATCTGGTCCCAGCAAACCAGGTCAAATCAGCCTTTTTTCCTAGATTCGAAGCAAGAGAGGATATCCACAACTTTATACATTTCTTTCATATCTCTTTATCCTATGAATATATATTACTGAGGTTTTTTTGGCTTTTTTTTTCAAATCTGACAAAATATGATTTTTGTTGGACACTAGAGACCCCTCTGGGCTTACCAGTACCTTAGTGTTACGTATTGACTCTTTCCGGAAGTGAACTTTTGTATTACCATAACTTCGGCTTTCAAAAACATCGACTCAAAATTTCGTTTCGTTGAGAGGTCAGCGTTTCGTTGAGAGGTCAGCGTTTCGTTGAGAGGTCAGCCTTTCCTGTCGGTGTGGAGTGAAGTTTTTAATCAGATAGTGTATAAAGAAGACCCCTAACCGAGACTTGACGCATGTCATGGCATGCACCCCATACCGGCACCTGAGGGGTTCTCTGGGGGTCAGTCATCCCCCTATACCAGCACACTCAAATCAAAGCACATTTAGAGATCTAGCTCCTTAGGGCAAAGACGAACTCCTTTGTGTAAACCCCATACCGGACCCTGTGAAGTTCAAGCACCCCATACCGGTGCTTAATGCACTCTATACCAGCACTTGATACACCCCATACCGGCACACTCAATTTGAAAAATTTACAACTGCCTAAAGAGATAACTAGGCGTTTGAAAAGAGGGAAGAAGCAAAGACGAACTCCTTTTGTACAGTGGGCCTAAAACAGAACTTAAGTCTATTGACATACTAAAAAGAACAACCACCAGAACAGACTCACATACATCTTACTCACACATAGGTACATGAATGTTTCATTTTACTCTTCCGCACATATCACAACAAACTAACATGACAAACAAACGTAGTAAAAGGCTTTAGTTCACTCTTTGACATCTTGCTCAACACAGCACTGTCGACCACAACACCCCTTATGATACAACCACAACTCACACATGTCACAACCCACCCACCCATCTTTCACACCCCGCCCCCCACAAGTATGACACGGATTCGGATCTCGCAAAACAATCCCGCCTCCTTTTCATATCCTCTTTCTCTTCCTCCCTCTCTCCTTTTCTTCATCATCTTTGCCTGTACTTTCCTCTTCCTTCCCTTACTCCCACTTCCTTCCCCTGTTGTTTCTTCCCTGCTCTCTGCTTCTCCAACTTCGTTAACCTTTTCTCCTCTTCCTTCTCCACCCTTTTCTCTCTTCCTCTTTTCCACTTTTTCCTTTTTCTTCTCTTCTTCCAATTTCTCCGCCACCTCCCATGCTTTGTACTTTGCCCCTGAGACATACTTAGGGGCCTGAGCCCGCTTCTCTGTGTTGAAACCTTAGAGTTCCAGCTTGCTGGTACGGGCAGGTTGACAAACCAGGGGGCAGGAATGAGTTGATTGTACAAATCAAGGTACTTTCTGTATGCCCCCTCGTTCTCCTTAGGTTCGATTTTGTGCCAATGGCGGACCCAATGCATGTCTGATGCCATCCATCCAGTGGCAATGGTGTGATCAATTAGCTTGTCAAGGACAAAGCAAAAGTGTTGTCCTGAGGCAAATTTTGGGGGGCTAGGGGTGTCACCAGAGTTTCATCTTCCAATGGTCTCAATGCCTGCTCAGACAGACAATAGTCATGGTCCTGGTCATCCACAGGATCCCGAGGTGGTGTTGAAACCAAAGGTAGCTGAAACTCTGCTGCAGGATCCAGTTACAACAAAGAGCAGCGAATGATTTGTGCTGGTAACTAGACACCTTACAAACTGAATAAAAATGCGAAACGAATCCTGCCGGTACGATTACAGAACCAATAGCATTTTTCCCATGACGCATTGCGCATCTGCAAGCTGTAATGGCTGAACGCGGTTCTTACCTTTGGAGATGAAATGGATTATTTCTGCTCTGCTCACACAGGCATCTGATTCTGCTCAAAATTGTTGAACTTGAAAACAAAACAATGTTGCACGCAATTGTATAGCAGACGGCATGCCAGGTTACCACATAATTGTCTGGTTGTCCAATTTTAGGCCAAATACGTGCCAACTGCCGGTATGAGACGGGTGCCGGTAAGCGCAGAGGGGTCTCTAGGTGTTTTTTTCCACTTGAAACAGCAGTTTTGATGCTGTGACACTACAGCAATAAACTAAAGTATTTGGACCAAGCAAGCAGTAATAGACATATATATCAGAGAGGTGAAAAGAAAGTTGTTGGTGGCGCCAACTTCAACTGCACTTCTAGTACAATGAAGGGAGATTCTTTGTGCATGTCACTGTCTTAACAACTAATGCTGAATAATAATGAACACATCCGTGTTACACACTGTTGAACACATTGGTGCAACGCCCACCTAGCCCTGAACACGTCCGTGCAACACACATACATAGCAGAACACATCCAGTCAAGAACACTCCTATTTTTTAACAAAACATTTAACATGCAAGGACCAATACTTTTATGAGAAAAGGGCCCTCAATCTTATCACAAGAACTACCAAGTCATCATGGCCCAGGCATGGACCCTCATAATCAAGTACAGAACAGACATCTAAAAATATTTACTTTTTTGGTGTATAGGAAGTGTTTTTGTTGTGTTTTAGTAAGCGTTTTACGGCACTTGCAACACAGTTGGGTCATATAAGTGCGGAAGATTAGGTGTTTCAAGAGAATTAAAAACACAAAAAAGAACAGATAAGGTAGATAGATGTTGGATAGGAAAGACAGAGCAAACCACATCAGAGCACCCACCAACCACCCTCACAGAAAGTGTGAGATTTGTGAGACGGGTAAGACTGAGACCCACATTCTCCTCCTATATGTAATTATACGACAGTCAAAATCTTTTGTCTGCCACTGGGTATCACTGTCCGACACACATCACACTTGACACAACAGGGACACAGGACACGCCTACGCCAAAGCTGAGCTCGACGAGGCCCCAGCCCCAGCTGTGCCGGAGTCCGCTCCTTTACTTCCTGACTCTTGCTTGCTTTCTGACTCCATATCTTCCACTTCCTCTGAACCTCCACTGCCATTTGATGTAGGCTTCTTCTCCTCTTCTTCTTTCTCCTGGGACGACTCCGGCAAGTCCTTCTCCTCTGTCTTCTCTTCCTCCTTGGCCTTTTCCACTTCTGAGCCAGTTTTCTCTTCCTCTGGGCCATTCTTTTGTTTCCACACCAGACATTTCTTTATCTCCAGCCCGATGGCCCTGCCCATGGGAGGGGGTACAGCATTGCCGATCTGGAGAACAGAAAGTGTCACAAGTCAGGGGAAAAGTATTTTGAAAGTACGTATTGTAGTAGACATCATACATATACCGTATTTTCATCCTCAGGTGGGTAGGTATGTTTGTCATGCAACTGAGGTATTAGTTTTTGTAAGTTTTACGGCTCTTGCAACACAATTAGGTCATATAAGTGCAGAAGATTAGGTGTTATAAGAAAGTAACAAACACAAAAAAGAAGCAGAGGTAAGAATGGTCGACATTTGATAGGAAAGAAGGAGAAAACCACACCAGAACACCAGCCAACCACCCACACTCAGGTATTAGAGGCAGAGGGACAGGAGTTGGTTTTTAAAAATTCATTTTGGTAAAGAGAAGACATTAACATGATAACATTCATTTAGAGCAGGGAAAAAATAAGATAAGAATCAAGAGAGGAAGAAAACAGAGTGTGGGGTCACTTACCTGTCTATGTTTGTCAAGAATATTCCCAAAGAAGCGGTAGGTGTCGGGGAATCCTTGAGAGCGGGCACACTCCCGCACACTGACCACTCGGTGCTGCTCTGGATGCAACACACGACCCTGGGAAGAAAGAACACAAGAGGGGATGATGATGCTGCAAAAGATAATATATCATCACAAAATTTTAACTGATAAACCAACTACAATCATACAAAATACTGCATGAGTAAATTTCTCTTCCCAGCGGATAACAATGACAAAGAAAACAGCAACACTGACAGTTAAGCAATGCTTTCGGGGATACATTTCAAAGGAAAGTAACCACACTGCAACACACTAGTCACTTTAAAGGCAATGCTCCTCTGTAACTGTTGATATGCAATCTGTCATGGTAATAATAATGTCCATTATTAACCCAACTGGCATATCATGTACCTGGCCACAAGAACAGATGCAGAATAAAAGATGGCTTCCTGAGCAGTAGAATCTTAGCACATGTGTTTGTCATTCTAATCAACAAGTTGAATTCTCTTGTTTGTTTGTGCCTTCAAGATCTACAAAATACCACATCAACAATAACCAAAGTATAAATTCTGACAACTGGACCCAGAAGAGCTGCAAACAACTTGAACTCAACAAAATCGGGGAGAATTTCCCAAACATTCACAATGGTGAGCAAAAACAAGCACATAAATGCAGATTTAGAACTTCCTCCTCCTAACTTGAAGAGTCCTTCTCTGCCCAGTTCCTACAAGATGCCAAGTTCTTCGCCTTCAGTAGGCCCTATCTCATGTCTAACTCAGAATTACACCGTGGGAACTATAACCTAACTAGAGAGCAAGGAGCAAAATCTAGATGATAGAAAGTCTTTTGAGCTAAGCCACTGGACTCGTACACCAACACATAGTCAGCCTGGGGTCACAGGAGAAATGCATGACCCACGGTCAGTCAGGGGTCACAGAAGAACCCACGGTCAGTCAGGGGTCACAGAAGATGATATGCATGATCTGAGGTCAGACAGGGGTCACAGAAGTAGATGACAGGGGTCACAGAAGTAGATGATATGCATGAGGTCAGACAGGGGTCAGAGGAGAAATGTTATGCATGACCCAAGGCCACAGAAGAAGATATGCATGACTTTGGGTCAGTGAGGGGTCACAGGAGGAATCTCAGGAATCTGAGGATGAGACATTATGCTCACCTGTTTGCCCATGGGCTCAGGGTTAGTGACTGTTGTACTGAAGAAACCGTCCCATTCCAGGCGGCCATAGAGCCCGGCCCAGTGGTTGTGCCGGTTGCCCGTGTGTGGGAGGCACCAGGGGATGAGGGTGTTGAACTGGCGGTCAAGTGGGTCACACACCCGGCCCGTCGCACAGGCGCACACACCGCGGCGCTGACCGTTGGAGCCTTTGCCGTTACGCTTGTCTGGGTGAGTGTACAGCCTGGTGACAAATGTCACATATTTTAGTAAGAGTTTTACGACACAACACAAATTGGTCACATAAGTGCTGAAGGTTAGAAAATAATACTAAAGAGTAGCATACAAAGAAAAAAAGGAGGAGAGATAAGGACGATAGATGTTTGATAGGTAACAAGGAGAACACCGCTAATAGGAAACCAGGAGACACCAGAAAACTTGCCAACCACCCACAAAGTCACATGATTGAAAAAAACAAATCCTAAAACATTTGTGCGGTGTGGCACTGGACTGTAATTACCTTTTCATGCTAATAATATTGTACCACTAGTATTTCTATTAGTCACATATTCACTATTGTAAATCAGCCCTACATCAGGCCTACTCACAGCTTTTTGGCTTTGGATCCGTCAGAGAGACGTATCTCCAGGTTGGGCAAGTCTCGCCAATCAGAGCCCGGCACAAGAGGAATGTGGGTCATGCGCGCTGCCACCAGGGGGCTCATCTCCTTACAGACGTGGTCCCGCAGGATCGGCTGGTGCTGGTGGCCCCGGATCAGGCGCTGGAAGTGAGTCTGGGCATCGCCTGAACGTGGACACGAACACATGAACAGATCTTTGAGTTTAAGTAAGTGTTTTATGGCATTTGCAACACAATTACATCATATAAGTGCTGAAGGTAAAAGATTACCATACACACAGAAATGAAGAGATAAGGACGATCTGTGTTTGATTCGAAAGAAGGAGCAAACAACACCAAAAACCATCCATTCAAAAGGTGTTTTTAAAATGGAGATGTGACAAGAAAGCACTGAGGTCACGATATGCTCAAGTCAACATATATGTAAATCAATAATATGCTGTACATTACATTTACACAGAGCTGCTAAGTAAAAATTCTGACCTTTGTATGAGATCTCCTCTGCCTTAGCCCCGTTCTTGATCTCAGGTAAATCTGACATTGCGTCGCGGACAGTAATGGTACGATACGGCGTCGACGTCATGTTCTTGATGTTAGAGTTGAACTGTTGGGAAATTTGAATAACGGTGATAAATGTTGCAAAGTTTAGAAATGTGAACAATGTGTTAATATGTGCATTACAAACTGCAGTTAAAGGCATTTTTAAAAGCCATTCACTCAAAAAAAGTTCATTTACACTTTTCTCTTAATTTTCCTTTGGACATTATTTTTGAACTTCAAATACCACATATTTCAAACTTCACAAAGAGTCTAACCTGTCTAACGTCTAGAGCAAGAACCTCTTTTTTCCCACAAGTAGGGTAACTGATCAAGCTATCGATTTAGCAAATTAAAAAATTTGGCCCTAAAAATGAAAAAAGGTGTTTTGTCAGCTAAGGGCAGTTCTAAGGCATATCTTTATGGTATGGAACAAGATACATATCCTCGAGGGTAAAATAACCATGTAATTGAGCATTTGGTTAATTCGTTATGTGCAGAAACAAGCTGAGTTTCTCATAGCTTAGAGCAACCACTGACCTTCCTGTCGTCCACCATGACCGAGAGCTGCATGGCCCGTGGTGCAAACGTGTGCTGGGGCTCTGGGTACACAGGAAGTTTCTCCCCCGGAGCAGCGGCCAGGATAATAGCTCTCCTGCGAGTCTGAGCCACGCCGTAACTCCCGGCCTGCAGCACACCAAACGTACACTGGTAGCCCATGCGCACCAGACACCGCAGCGCCAGCTTCAGCACCATGCTGCGCTTGAAGGACACAAAGTTGCGCACATTCTCGAGGAGGAAGAACCGCGGCCGGTAGTAGTCACAGTAGCTGAGGTAGGAGGCGATCAGAGAGTTCTTGAACTTGGAGTACTCTCGTGAGTTGAACCTGTTCATTCCGCTGAATCCCTGACAGGGCGGGCCTCCACACAACAGCTCCACCTCCCCTGTGAGCACGAATAAATATGAATAAATAAATATTACACAACAAACAATAAATAAACAACACATAAATAAATATACACAACAAACAAAAAATAAATATTGCACAACAAACAATAAATAAACAACAAACAAATAAATATACACAACGAACGATGGTTGGACTCTGAGACTAAGGGTGTGCGAGTTCTGTAATATTTTTTGTTGCTTTATTGTTGTCACAAGTGTTTCACAGCACTTGCAACACAATGAGGTCATACAACTGCTGAAAAATAAAGGTTTTACAAGAGAGTAACAAACACAAAAAAGAAGGAGGGGAGATGAGTACGATAGGCGTTTGATAGGAAAGAAGGAGCAAACCACACCAGAGTACCCGCAAACCACCCACTGTGATAATTTTCTTCGAAATTTTTTTAGCTAAAATAATAAAAAATTTGTGAGAACTACAACAGTAAAGAACGAACAGTAAAACTGATTATATTCCCCAAGCCGGCACACGAGCAGACAGGTAGAGAAAGTTTTAACAGTAACAACAAAGTCTCAGACAAACCAACCTTTCTGCGGCAGTTTCTGTCCCAGTTCGTCAGTGGTCTCCCCGAGCATGACGCGCTGCAGCAGGAGGTTACAGTCGTCGGTGAACACGGTACAGCCCGGGTTGTTCAGCCGGAACGCTTGGGCTGCCGGTTCCTCCTTCTCGATGGCCCAGCGGCTCTCGGCCAAGCCGGCCTGATGGAAGCCCTCCGACAAACCTGAGGGGAGGAGTTTGTTCATCGCGATGTCAGAACCAATACAAAACTCACATCAACACAAGTTCTGACAATTACTTCCCTTCATCTTCTTCAATATCTGTGTTTTCCGTTATCACGGTTTAAGATAAGATAAAATGAGATGATGATACTTTATTGTCCCAGAGGGAAATTTTTCTTGGCTGAACAGGAATGGTAAAACCACATGCAGGTATACTTAGAATTTAAATTATATATTACTCTCATTAAAAACAATACTCAAATCATGTGATGTGTCAAACACATTTGTCAACCCAAGATGATATATTCGAGGCATCCATGTGCAACAGTACAGAAATCCCAAATTAGAACTTAAAATGAGTACCCACCACCACATCCAGCGAAAACGTCCAGCGTTCTCAGTTTGTGAATCTCAACCTTGTCCTCCTCAGAAGCCTCCTTTGATGGTTCTGCCTTGCTCGACTTGCCTTTGCCTTTTCCTTTGCCTTTCCCCTGAAGGGGGGAAAAAAAAAAAAAAAAGAGTCTGAATGTTGTCTGCTACGTTACAAAGGCCTGTGTAGAAACATAAAACATATGTCATGAACACTTCTATCAGTCATGTTGGGAAGAGAAAATCTCCACTAAATCGAAAGAAAAAAACAAAAGGGATCTTCCGGAAAATTCATTAACATTAACAGTACATCAAAAGTGTAAGGCACAACTGATATCACTGTTTTGAATTGCTTTCTTAGATGAAGAGCACGTTAATAAAAAAAATTTCTGGAAAAAATACCTGGCCACATACAAAACAAAAAGAACAACGGGACAATCAGTCACCAAATAATGACAGCTCACCCCATGATTTACAAAACAATAACAACGGGACATTCACAGTCACCAAATAATGACAGCTCACCCCATGATTTACAAAACAAAAAGAACAACGGGACAATCACAGTCACCAAATGATGACAGCTCACCCCATGATTTACAAAACAAAAAGAACAACGGGACAATCACAGTCACCAAATGATGACAGCTCACCCCATGATTTACAAAACAAAAAGAACAACGGGACAATCAGTCACCAAATGATGACAGCTCACCCCATGATTTACAAAACAAAACAAAAATATTTCCACAACTTTGCCATGACAAAAGACAAATCTTTCCTGATCATTCACAAATCTATGACCTGGGCAGCGCTTACCTTCCCCTTGCTTCCCATCAACCTCGCTTTCGCTGGTGGGTCTTCAAACGACCTTGACTCGGCGTTGTACGACTCGAGGAAGAAAAACCTATCAGGACTGTCCAGGAAGAATGTGTCGAGATCCCCAGCAATGTTATCCTGGTACAGGACGGTGCACTTGCCGCAAACCTGGGAGAAGTGGACTGACGCCTCCTCCTCACTCCAGTACAGCTTGTTGAGCTCACTGTGGTACACGGCCTGCTGGCCTTTGTGGGTGTTCTCTACCCTAGATAAACATAGAAAAAAAATCTCATTAACATCTGTCACTCTGTGTTCTATACCCTAGATAAACATAGAAAAAAAATCTCATTAACATCTGTCACTGTGTTCTCTACCCTAGATAAACATAAAAGAAAAATCTCATTAACATCCGTCACTCTGTGTTCTCTACCCTAGATAAACATAGAAGAAAAATCTCATTAACATCTGTCACTCTGTGTTCTCTACCCTAGATAAACATAGAAGAAAAACCTCACTACACATCTATCTGTACAATGCGTGCGTGCGTGCGTGCGTGCCAATTCATGTTAAATATCTGATGTGCAGCACCAATGTGTGTAATTGCCAAGCCATACGTTATAAAGTGAAGATGTATGGGCCAAAGGCCTTTGAAATCAATAATCATTTTGAAATCTAAAAAAAAATAAAAAAATCGATCTGTACAGTACATGGCCTGGTGGCTTTTATGAGCGTTCTCTGCCCTAGATAACCAGAGAAGAATGTAGCTGTCACCGTGGAATACCTCTTAATGACCTTTGTTTTAGTTCATTATCCTTAATGATGAAAGAAATATCCATGAAACAAAACAAAATCACTTAACAGAACGACTAGTCTTTGTGTCAAAATTTCTATCAACCTTTTCCCCATTTAAAGGATTTCAAAGGAAAAAAAAACCCAATCCCCTTTGTGTACAAGGAAGGGAAAAACACAGGAATGAACCGAGAGAATAGCTTACCTGTAAAATTTGTTCACTTTGATTTTGATTTCTGCTAAATCGGGCAGCTTTGAGCCAGACATTTTCTTTGCAGAAATCTGGACAATGCGACCAATCCTGAAGGGCTCTGGGCAGCCGTCGTTGGATCCTTTGACATACTCTGTCTTCCTGTAGGACTCTGGATACATGTCCTCATCCATCTGGTGAAACATAATTTAAAACAAGTGTTCAGAGAGAGGGGGAGGCAGGGAGAGTGAGAGAGAGATAGAGAGAGAGAGAGAGAGGGGGGGGGGGGCAAATGAAATACAGTGAATAACAGGACCAAAATGAGGTTCTGTCCAGAGAAAAGGGAAGAGAAAGGGCACACATGGCAATTTGAGAGCTGAGTACGGTGGCAGTGGAACCACACCTGACAACACATCAATTTGGGACATCTCACAGCTTATTCACTTTCCATCCATGATAGCTGAGTACACTGAAGTCGAAGCATCACATGTACACCTAATCCACTCCACCCCCAACACTCCCTCCTCAGACACAAACACTCATCCCTTCCACAGACACATACACCACACACACGAACACTCATACTCTTACATTTTTATCCTTCAACCTCAGCTGTTTGCCGCTCTTAGCTGGGTGTTTGATCAGGAAGTCGAAGCCCTCCGGATTGATGTAACAGCAGTCGCCCACGTGGTACTCCAGGCCGTCGCGACGCACGCTGTTGTAGTACAGGTAGCTGGCCGTCTTGGATGAACTCTGGGCAGAGATAAGGACAGACGTCATTTTTATTTTGTAAAGAGAAGCACATCAAGGGCACAATATATGTCATTCAGAGTTGAGGAAAACAAAACAGACAGACAGAAGCAAGAGAAGGATGGGAAAAGAAGCAGGACCCTTCAATTTAACCATCCAGCCACACACAAAGGACATTATAAATGTCAGTCACACACCACAATAGTTACTTCCATCTCCACAAGCAAAGATGAGCTCACCTCTGTCTTAAAATGTCTTTTTTCATAAGACAGGTATTTTTTACATTCCAATCGACACAATTTAGTCACCTCTATCTACCCATATGTACATACACGTTAAATCAATCACACACAAACAGACAGCCATATCAAATCTACCACACACACAAACAGACAAGTCAAAATCAACCACACACATAAACAGACATGTCAAAAAACCACACACAGACACACCCCACAGCACTCACCTCCGCCTCCTCCCCAACAGCCACCTCCTCCAACAACCTGCGTTGCTCAAGCCTGTAACAGCTGACGCAGTGGTCCACTTTTGACGACTCCGAACACTGCTCATACATTGGCAGATCCTCGAAGCGTCCGAGGGTCGGATCATAAAACTTTTGGTAGAAAAAGGTTTTCCCATCGTCCTCCTGCACCACATTATCCACATCGGGATCGTCGATGCCGCCCAGCATGCTCCAGTCGGACGGAATCGATTTGAAAAGGACCTAGGGAATGGAAGAAGTGAACCCTCAGATACTGTCCATAGCATAAGAAAGACTGCAACAAATAACAGCACAAACATGGCAACTGAAACTAACCCATATTTGGTAGGGGGGTGGGGGAATAACTGCCAAAAATTTAAATATTCTCACTCATAAATTCTACCATAAATACACATTAGGATGACCAAAAAAATGTAACACATTTCCAATATAAATATTCTTTTCCTATTTTGAATTTTCCAGGAAACTGTAAAGTTTACTTCATTTCACATCTACATGAATGAGTCAACGCCCTGGCATTACTGAGAACAATCTCACATGAATGTAAAGGGAAAAAAATGAAAAAGAGAAACAGATGCACCCTTAAAGAAAAAAAAAGGAAAACATTAGCAAAAACACATGCAGACCTGTGTAGGTAAAGAAAGCTACATACATGTACTTACCTCAACTTTAGCATGCACAGCCTCGAGTACGTTATCATCGCATTCATCCACCAAGAATAGCTCCAATGGATCAGAGGCCTCTCCAAGCACCGTCTCGCTCCCACGGAAATACCAGTGCACGTGAGCCTGCATTGAGCCGCGTTCTTCAAATAGGTATTGAACCCTGGCCATGTACAGGGGCTGGGTGGGGTCAGCCGGCGTGATGGACACGTTGTCACCAGCAGTAATCTGGCAATGTCGGGGGAAAGAACAAAACAAAGAGTTATTATTTCTTTGAAAGAAATATCTAAGGAGCAGGTCCAATATCAAGTCTTGTTTAACTATGGTTAAGAGAAACATCAACAAAATGAAAGTCATTTCAAACTGGAAAAAAAAAGCAAGACTGATACAACCTGAAGAGAGAGAGAGACAATGAGTGAAGAAGAATGATCTACCATGACAACATCCTCTCTCAATATATATCTCTTTCTCTTTCTCTCAGCCATTGATACCATTTTAAAACAAAAACAAGAGCACTTTACCTCCACATTGTTCACTTTCGCCGTGGCGAAGTACTTCCTCTTGCCTTCCTCTTTCACCGGAGCTCCCACCCATGTGACCTTTGCCTTGGCATTTTTCGCTGCCTTGTGTTTTTTTACCACAGCCGCATTTTCCTCTGACACCTTATCAATTTCTGTATCCTCCTCCTCATCCTCATCTGCTGTCTTGATAGCCATGTTGGGGCATCTGGAAGTGGAACAGAAAATTAATGTTCACGTAATTGGACATTTTTAACCCTTAGAACGCTGACTTTTTTCCCCTTATATTTTCCCTCTGCTGAATGTATTTTGGAAAAACGACAGATTTGGATGTACGCTTTTTTTCTTGCTAATAACTTTTTTACTTGTCAAAATTTCTAATGAAGGTTAGAATAAAAGTTTTAGAATATTGAAAGTTCTTTATGGATAAGCGAAGAAAAAAGTATTTTGTGAAGTTATTGTTGTAGTAGTGGTGTTGCAAATGACTGAATAAAAACTGCCGGTTCATTAGATCTCTAGATCTAGACCTAAGTCTAGATGCTTCGTAGGCCTACGTTATATTCCACAAAGTGTTAGCTCTAGCATCAAAACCCTCGAAATCATCTTCCGATTCAAGGAAAATACGCAAAACATCTTCATCTGAAGCGACACTATTTTCATGTTTGTCGCGGATCGCAATTGCGAATTTTCCAACTTCACTGTCATTCAACGTGAAACAAAAAACTCCTCGCGCCTCGATCGAACCCTGTGACAAGAAAAATGGTGGGCGAAATCAATTCCGCGTAGCCTACCAGCCAGCAGTATAAAAATTAGTACTTCATTCTTTTCGTACATCGCGTTATACGATGCCAATGTCAATCGTGACCGGCGGTCGCGATCAGCACTTTACGGAAGTTCGGGCCATCGCGACCACAAAAGCAAGTTATGAGAAGAAATACTTTTTATGCATGTGGTCAATCAAAATATTCATCAAATGAACTGAAATCTTGACCCCATAGCAAAGGTGAATATGTTCAAATCCTCTTCCACTGTTCCAACAGACAATAAGGGTGTGTACAGGGGTGCTTGTTTTCAATATATATAAAAGTTCAACTCTTCTTGAGAGCAGCTGGTTGCCACAGTATCCAATACAGGCACCAGATCTATAAAGCAAATCTTAGAGCAAAAATTTTATGCAATAAGACATCTTCCGAACAAGATGATCAACATAAGAAGAAAAAGGATAAATTGTTTTTAAATAGGGTTCTATCCCATATATAAGTATAAGTATAAACAAATGTCTGTTGTCCACATCACAAGCAATCAGCTGGGACTATCACAACCATGTGAGAAACGAAGAGTGTGGGGGACATTCCGCATTTCCAGGCAACGGGTACATTACTAAAATATCACCAGCCCACTTACCGTCGTTCTTTGCACGCCTGCTTGGCCCGTCCAGTGCCGCCGAATTTCACCATGTCTCGACAAGCAGCACACTTGCCACAGTCTGGCTGCTGACACACCTGGGAATGAAAGAAATGGCAGAGCATGAAGCCACAATCAAAATCAGAGAGAAAGGAAGTCTGGCAGTCTAAAACATCCACTGTGTTTCAAGGAAGTATGTGCATGAGGTAAAGAACAAACGACAAGACCCTCATACAAGTGTGCATGGCTGTTTCCCACCAAGGGCCACACTCCTGTTGTCAAGACCTTTGTCAAGCCATCGAACAAATGTCTGTTTGTTTTAGTAGAGGTTTTAGGGCGCTCGCAACTGCATTAGGTCATTTGAGCGCCATGGGGTGGATGTCAACAGAGAAGTCCTTACAGGGATTCAGACTTACTTTGCTCACCTCTCTAGCTTCAACAGCACAAAGTCTGCTTCGACTATCAAGGCACCCCGGAAATAGCGGATCACAAGAGTGTGACAAACGTACAAAAAAAGTAGAGGAAATGACGATAGTAAGGATTAGGAAAGAAAAAGCAGCAGTTCCCTGTTGTAGTTCAGGCCACTTTATGAGCATGATATTGTTGGGTCAGCCCATTTACAATTCCACTGTGCATTAGAACAAGAAATGTCGCCCCTTTGGGGATGGCTTAAAGACACTTCAGTCAGTGACACCGCCTCGGGGGGTTCAAACAAATGTGAGCAAAACACGTGTTTGTTTTAGTAAAGAGAAGCACATTAACAAGATAACAGTTATTAAGTGCAGGGACACAGCCAGAAAGATAGACAGGAAAGACAGAGGGAAAGAAAAGTAGGACCTGCGCATCCCGCAGAGTAAAATATGACTTCCATTGAATACTAAACTATGCAAAAAAATAACTTAATTTAGAGGTCATAGAAAATACAATGAAATCTTTTTAAGTATACAGGATTAGTCGGAGATAAGCAGAAAAAAGGGGTAGTAAGTGGAAAGGAGGTCAACTTCTTGGAACTTACACACAAACATCCACTTAATACAGTAGACTGTTCAATCTGACTCAAAGTCTTTACGAGTTCCATAACAACACAAACATTTTTATTTAACATAATTTTAAAAATATCAGACAGCATAGCTCATAGAATATAGATATTTGTTTGTTTCTTTTAAGTGTTTTTGAAAGGCAGGTGGAAATAGTTAAATGTTTACTTTTGGCTCACAGAGTAGGGGTCGAAGAGAAGACCTGTGCTTGACACCGTCGTACATACCTCACAGATCCCGCACCTCTGTTTTTTCGTTTTGGAAGACTCCTCATCAATCTGACCTTGGAAGAGAGAGTCGAAAATATTGCGCACCAGGGGGGTGACGGTTGCCATGGTGTGTTTGGGCTTTTCCTTCTTGGCCTTCACCCTGCCCACGTCCTTCCGCAACTGGCGTCTGGTACAAAACACAAACAGTGGAAACTCAAACTCAGCACTTTGCAGTCATACAGCCAGCAGTACAAACTACCGCTTCTGGTCCCCCAGCCAGGAGAGAGACTGCAACACACTTCTCCCGCCTGTCTCAGAACAGTGTCAAGTGACCGAAACAGATAATTTTCACCATCACATTATTGCTGCAAGTGACCGTAAAGTATTAAAACACACAATGTCAATTCACTTCCCTGTCGTTATCAAGGGATGAAAAAAAAACCCACAAGAAAACATATTTGCCCCCCGGTCATCTTCTACCCCCCTTAGATCTGAAAATCTCACTGGTTATGCTGCATTGAAAATGCTTTTACTGTGCAAGGCAAAAGGGATTAGCTAGGTCAAAGTCCCACAGACAAATATAATTTATATAAATGATACAGCAAAAAAAATCATCATCAGACTGCGTAAGAACCAACAAAATTATAACAAGCAGGAGAGACTTTGGTGCAGTCTATGTAATAAGACTCTCAGGTTACCCATTGCCGAATACGGGACGATGACAAGCCTGCTGATTTAGTACACAAACAGTATAGTTGCCTCGATAAGATACATGGCGGTCATACCTCTTGCCCAGGGTGACTCCGGCCAGTTTGATCAGCGCCCGCATGCACGGGGTCACGATCAGCAGCGGCTCATCATCAGCAGCCGCCTCGTCGTAGCTCTGGACCTGGTCCACCACAAACTGGGCGTGGCGTAGCAGAGAATCCTCCGAGAAACTTGTGAGACCTGCAGGTGGCACTGTAGTCTGGCCGGGGTGGAAGAGAAGGGAAAATATAGAGACAAAATTACGGAATCGCAAATTCAACTTTGAACTTGGGAACATATAGTTATACACCGATTTCAACAAAATGTAGATATTTTTTTATATAGCATCTCTAAATTAGTTTTGATCTTTATTAAATGTCAAGAGTGATGGGCTTTGAACATTCACCCTCCCCGAACTCACATGATCAGGCATACACCACTAGTAAACACAGAGCATGACTCTATAGAGTGCGAAAGATTACAACACTTTTCTTTTTGTGTCAAAGCAACTGAACTCTGCATTGACACCTGGAGATAAAATCGATTTTCCATCACGCATTTTGAAAACTACAATTATTGTCAAAGTTAAACAACGAAAATAACAGTATTATAAAAATACCTTATGTATTTAAGACTAGTCACAAAGACAAATTAAAATTTCTACAGGCTCATCCAACAACTTCACCTGCACAGTTTGAATGGTGCAGAAGTCTACATGTCTTCTACACAGTGGACATCTTTATAAAAGTGACAGTATTCCTACTTTTTAACTGCTTACTTGGATTTTGTTCAACAAGTCCTCATACGTGGAATCCTGGTTGTTGGTGAGAAACTCGATCACAATCTTGGACATGTGGACCTTCACCTTCATCTGTTCGATAAAAGGCGTATACGCTTCGCTGGGCTGCATCAGGATGTACTCGGCATACGCTGGGGACGAGGAACAGCACGTGGGGGTTAGTACTAGCACAATAGACAGGACGTATTGTTTGTTTTAGTAGAGGTTTTACGGCGCTCGCAACTGCATATGGTCATTTGAGCGCCAAGGGGTGGATGTCAACAGAGAAGTCTTAACACGGAATCAGGCTAACTCTGCTCACCTCTCCAGCTTCAACAGCACAAATTCTGCTTCTACTATCAAGGCACCCCAGAAATAGAGGGTCACAAGAGTGTGACAAACATACAAAAGAAATAGGGGAAAATGACGATAGTAAGGATTAGGAAAGAAAAAGTAGCAGTTTCCTGTTGCAGTTCAGGCACAGATATGAGCATGACATTGATGAATCTGCCCATATACAATTCTACTGTGCATAAAAACATGTTAATATCCCCCCTTTGGGAATAGCCTAAAGACACTTAAGTCAGTAGCACTGCCCTAGGGGCTGCAGGATGTATTGCAGAAACAAGCTGAAATGAGAGTGTTTTGGTTTTTTTAGCTTGTGTATAATGAAGGACATTGACAGAGTCACTTTGAAACAGGTTAAAAAGAGGTTGAGGGAGAGGGGTTGGAAAAGAATAGTGAAAAACTTCCACAGGACAGTTTAGAAACAAAAAGAAAAGAGGCCAAGTGTAGTGAAGCACATGACAGACTTACGTCATTTTGCAAAGGGAAAAAGCAAAGCAGACAGACAGAAACAACAAGGAGACGGAAAGTAAGTAGAACTCACCAATGGTGCCTACCAACCACCTACTCAAGTAACACAAAACCAGTGCAGAAGGCATCTGACGAATTCATATCAGAGTAAACAAAAAGAAAGCGCCATGTACCTTTGACGCATTAAAAGACAAACATGTTTGCGATCAAACATTTCTAAAGTTTGTTTGTTGAGGAAAGAACTACCTGTAGAGAATCCGATAAGAGCATTTTCCCCTCCATCAAAGCCTGACACAAACCATTCATTGATGGGCCCCATGTTGCGGCAAGGGATGCCACCTAGAAGAGAAACATATTCAAGCATGAGACAATCATCATTGGGAAATATATTTTGCAAAAACTAATGGTCACTCCACCAATACATTGTGTATAAACATGCACGCACGTACCCACCCACACACACACACACAGTCAAACCCGCTCTAATGGCCACTTGTCCAAGACAATCAATCACCAGTCAAAAAAACTACTTTCCACTTTCCCCCATGCCTTTACTGACAGATGTAAAATGAACAAAACTGACATCAGGACATACATATTGAGGGCCCCTTACACTAAGTTTAAATGAAAATAAAGCCTTATCAGCTAAGGCTGGGAACAATCACGTCATTTTCCACACATTTCATCAAACCTGACGACAATTATTCAAACCACACTTTGGGGACAGGTTAAACTTTTTGCTGCTACAAGCAGAAGACGTAAGATTGATGCCCAGAAAGGGAAGTCATTCCATCAAGTGTTCAGTTTGTCTGCTAGAATGTTGTACCTACTAAGCCAGGGTTGGCCCTGATAGACACAGTCGAAGCAGTCTACCTTCGAAATGATCAACATTGTGTCGATGATTGTGTTTTAAAATTGCAATCAGCTCCTGATAATCAGAAGACAGGTCGAGAAAGTTGTCGAAGAAAGATTGAAAAATTGAACACACAGTAAACAGCATAATACAGTCCATATCTTACATTGAATACAATACAAACCATAACTTGTGTTATCACACCATACTCCACACCGGGCATTCAGCACAACACACCATGTCCCCAGTTTTTGTAAAACAGTAATGTAGACAATGCGGCCTATATGTATCCCCCATGTTAGACAACACAACATGTTCTTTACCCTCTAGACTCGGGTTTTCCTCAAAGATGGGTTTGAGCACACCGCTGAAGAAGAGGTACTTGTTGCGCTCGATGAGGCCTGTGTCAAAGGCACACAGGTGGGTGTTCTTGTCATACACACTGGAATAGGCAAATCGTGAGGGAGAAATTACACAAGATATATAAAACTGCTTTTTTGTTCGAGTAAAGAGAAGTATACTGACACAATGACGGTCATTTAGAGCGGGGAAAAAGTAAGACAAACAGACAGAAACATCAGAAGGAAACTCAAGAAGTAGGACCTACCAGTGGCGACCTCCAACTACCCGCATATATAAAACAGTAAACACAATTTTAAAGAAATTCAGAAAAACAGTGAGTTTTCCCCTATGAGAGTGCTTCTGAGACGAAGTGAGAAAACTAATGTTTTAAGCTATATATAAAAGTAAGCACGAATAAAAAGGAAGAGACCGAAGATTTACAAATGCCTTTTTGGAAATTTAAACTGCAGACCCTTCAAACCAGAAGGCTCAGAATATACTCAACTAACCAAAGGGTAAACAAAGTCAGGATGCACAGGACTCATTTTCTTAAAGTTGATAGTACCATGATAAGTCTTTTCCTCCAACTCACTATCGGTAATCAAACACTTTTTTTGTTAAAGAGATGAAAAAAACTTGAGCATAAAGCCGTATTTCATTGCATTGTTTTTAGCTAGAGAAGTCGAGATTAAGTCTGACGAAAAAAAGCAAGACAACACACAATTTTACAAAAAAGCAGAAATGAGAGCAACCAAAAGTGTCTTCCACATGGACAAACTTTTCCAAAACTGCTCCAGCAACCACTGAATGAAAGGCAAGAGGCAGCCATTAGCATTGAAATGTTTATAACTCACTTCCCTTTACAAACATAAGCATAGATCTCATACCACCACAACTCACCTGAAGTTGGTGATCTTGTGCTGCGGTCTGTCCTCCTGTATCTTATCAAAGTCTTCTTCCCCTGTGAACAACGACAACTTCGGGTCTGTCAGGGCAATGAACTCTTCCACCTGTTAACAATAAAGAGGTGCGACGTCAAGTAACTTTAGTGCCACCAAAACATAAACATTAACACCAATCACCGACCTGAACACTTCATTAGAGTAAAGACAACCAGATCGACACAGCCCGTAAAAAAAGCAGAACAGGACAAAAACAAACAGAAGAAATAAAGAAGATGGACGTTCTAACCACATCCTCCAACAACCCCATAGACGTGAACATTAAAACAACATAAATAATGAAATTGCACAACAAAGAAATGTAGTGTTTAGTAAGATTGGTAGAGTTAAAAGACACACAACATACCGCATCATCAGCATCGCCAGGGAACATCTTGAGCTCCGGGTCATCCATGTACTTGAGACATTCGTTACATCTCTGTGGCAACGGCTTCGGGGCACTTGGCTCGAGAACTGGCACAATACTGGAGGGACATGATCAGAATCAGTAAACCAGACATGCAGCAACATAATGTTTTTTTAAAAGGCAATTATTTTTTCCCTCTCTCTTTCTCAATACAAACAAAGAAACAAGCATTTTAACAACTCAGCCTTCTCTTGAAGCTGTACACATTTCAATCAACAACACATAATATTCATATTTAAAGCACTACAGCTAAGAAAGCTAAAAAAAATTGTTTAAACACAATATAAACTATGGGATGCCGATCAGCAACGGTAAGAAGCCGTCTCTTTTCTCCACAGGAAGTTATCAACAACAGCGCAAAGTAACAAAAACTATGAATTATCTCCTTTTAGACATGCGCATTTGTTAAAGTTACAATTTTCTTTCTGAATGGTTTCAGTGGCCTTTGAGCGCAAAAATCAGATTTTTTCTTAGGTCGAGTAGACCTAGCATGAGGACTGCTTTATACTAATGCCATGACGAGGATTCGGATGATGAATGTGCTAGATCTAACGGTTTTGGTTCCGATTCTTATTCCTATTTCATGCTATCGTCACGTTCCATTTCACCAATGTGCTGATAATTTAATACTGATTGGGTTATTTTTGCCAAGATACAGGTATAGTACTGATGTAGCCCATCTGCATCCTGGAATGTAGGGACAAAGAATTTGCTCTCTGCGCACTTGGTGGGTGGACAGTGTTACAAAAAAGTCAATTTTAAAAAACGGAAGTTTATGTTGGCAAACAGCCTCAGTTTACAAGTGTGCTTTACAAAATGCAAAAACATTACCCCTCCTGTTTTCCTTCGTCATCCTGCAGCTTGATCCTCTTACTGGCTTGTTGCTCCTCTTCCTCTTCTTCACCATTCTCAGCACTGTTCTCTTTTTTATCTTTGCTAGAAGCTTTCTCTTCAACTTTCGCTCTGCCAATAGAAGAGTGATCCAGCATTGAAACCTTCAGCAAAGTACAACAACATAGCCTTCACAAAAAACAACTGGTCAAAGCTGTCTCTGCAGAGTTGTTGTCTAAATAGAGAGATGTATTTACATTGACCTAGTAGAAAGGAGACACCAATAAAATGATTCATTTCAATATGGAAAATCAAAGAAGTTTACCTCAACACAGAAGTATATTCCAATGTAACTTTTTATCTAGAAACATAAACACAGACTTAACCACAGGATATCTGGACCATCTCAAACAAACACAAAGCTGATAACAATTCAACCTGATGTGCCAAATCTCTCAAACTAAACCTTTAACTGCTTTTTTCCTCTCCACAACCACAGAGCAGTTCCCGAAAGCAACAGTCAAAACAGAATCTGTCTACTCACTTGGGAGAAAACATAGCAGTGATCGACGGTTGCATCTCGTCTGACTTTTTACTCACACGGCGGGACGAGCGGCGGGGAGCTGGACAGACAAAACAAATTAAAATATAAAGTAAATAAAAAAGAGAAAAGAGAGCACACTTATAAATTTTACATGATTGAGCATAGATCTATATTTCAATCAGACACGACAAAAAAAATAATAAAGTAAACAAAAGTGAAAAGAAAGCACACATGTAAACTTTACAAGACTGGAGTATAAACTTTACAAGATTGAGCATATTTTCAATCAAATACAAAAAAGAAATATATAAAGTAAACAAAAGTGAAAAGAGAGTACACATATATATTTTACAAGATTAACAATCTTTCGATAGAGTTTTCAACACACTTTGGGTGCGCAGCAACAGAATAACACTACAGATGATTCTATTAGCACTCGCAGAACAATAAAAAGAAATAATCACAGAGACAAAATTAACCTGCATCGAACACCAGCTAAATACAAAGACTAGAGACAAGGAAGGTCATTCCGTTGAAGTGAACAGACAAGAGGTGGGGGGGGATTTCGATCCAACGACCCTTTGACTTAGAGACTTGGATTTCCTCTATTTAGAAAAGCTACAACAAATGCATGATAAAACCAACAATTTGTCCTCCCAACAATTCTCAAAATGTATCTTTGTACTTACTTTGTTCTTGTTTTGGAGAATCAAAACTCTCATTCGACTTGTCCTGCTTCGACTTTTTATGTGGTGGGCTACAGTTCACATCCACACCGTTCTCCTCCACACTGTCCACTTCCATGACCTCCTCGCTGGCCGGTGAGTCTGAGCTCTGTTTCACATCAGTGTCTACCTCCTATGGCAGAACAAGTACAAACAAAAAATATGAATTTAAAATTTAAACAATCAGGTGAAGTGAACATAACACCTTTGTCAATACAATTAACTCTCAATCGTAAACAAATAAATAATAGCACTTTCACTTAAAACTCTTTAAAACATTCAGGAGATCAAAACCGTAATTTATGGCACTGATCAGCAAACTGTCACTATTGACTTAATCTGTCAAAGACAACGGATGCATCATTTTTGCAATGTACATATCAGGTTAGGGATTCGTCCATTTCACAATGAAATCCATATCTATACCATAAATGTTAACTTTCATGAGTAAATAAGAGGGGGGCAGCACACTTTTTCAACAGCTTATTCAAAGCCAAATGTATTGACATATATATATATTATTTATTATCCAAGGTAAAAGAGAGCAAAAACCAGATTACATTCATAGAGATATAAATGAGACTGAGACACTAAAACTTGATTTATGGACTCAGAAGCTTTTCAGTTCAGAAGTCTGAACATGCTGGAATGTGAACAGGTCAGGAACTTTGAACCCCCAACAAAAAAAAACCCCAAAATAACAAAGTATTTTTTAAACTGAAAGACACGCTAATTAAAAGACAGCAGACCTTATTTAGTAAGAAGGCACAATTTTGGTTGGTGACAAACAAAAAAAAAACACCCTTGCCCTTAACTGAATTCCTTCATAAATCTTCAGATTTTCACCTTGTATTGCACACACCCCCACACACACACACAGTTAGGTACAATGTGTGTAAAACCCAGCAATTTACCTTTATCTTAGGAGAGGCGTGTCCATTCATACTCTTGTTTCCATTTGTATGCCCGTTACTTTCTGTTTTCAGCGCATCTTTTTCATCCATTGTCTCGGATTGGCTGGACCCTGCAGCAAATTTTGATAATTTCTTGGCAGCACTTGATCCATTCATGACGGTGCTCGTCCCATTTACAGAGCCAGTACCATTAGTAGCACTTGTTCCATTTACAGAGCCAGTACCATTAGTAGCACTTGTTCCATTTACAGAGCCAGTACCATTAGTAGCACTTGTTCCATTTACAGAGCCAGTACCATTAGTAGCACTTGTTCCATTGGTATGTCCATTGGTGTGGGAAGGTTCTGGACCCGGACTCTTCAGATCACCAGTGTGTCCATTCTGTCGAGAACTTGCCGAACCATTTATCATTCCACTTCCATCGTTCTCAACTTCCTTCAAGAAGTCAGTTACAACCTTTTCCAACTTCTTGTAATATCCTTTCTGTATGACAAAAGCAAAAAAATTTTTAAACACATGAAATCATTACTTGTCAGAAGAGAAGGAGTTTAGTTGAGAAAGCATTTGGATCCATCCATTACATAGAAAATCCTGTCTATGACCTGTGAGCTTAACTCCTTTCAGCAGAATAACACGCTCTATGATGCCCTTCCCACTTACTCCCTTTAAACCAGAATGACACAGAACATGTCGTCTCCATCTTCCCAACTATTACGTCCAGTCCTTCAAATCCATGTTTATGATATTGGTCAAGCTAAAATAAATATACACGGTCTGATGATACTTCCTTTCATTATGAATATTTGACGCTTGAAGGTGTATATGTCTAATGGAAGGGCATTGCGTCAAAGATAATTTACACCTAGAATCCCAGTCACTTTCCAAATCAAGACTGTTAATCAAATTCCTCTATTACACCTTCTTCTGTACTCAAAGTCACTATCCATTTCCCAGATATTACTGATGTTTAATTTTTTGGCATGGTGAACGAGGTAAATCTGGACCCAAAATTGTCGGTGATACAGAAACTTCTAAATAACAGTGCAGATCACGAAAATCCATAAAATCAATTCTAGCTGACAATGGTTAAGAAGATTATTGTAAATGTAAAACATCTAGAGTCTCTGGGTTTCATGGTCTCTGTTTGTTTTTTAAAGTGTTTTACGGCACTTGCAACACAATAAGGTCATATATAAGTGTCTAAGATTATTGTTTTGTAAAGTGTTTTACGGCGCTCGCAATTGCATAAGGTCTTATGAGCGTGCGGGACACACCTAATATTTTCAGTTGGTTGGAAATTTTGAATTTTGCCCGGGTGGCGGCCGAAGCCTACTCTTATCGATTTTAGACCACCAAGGGATCTTTAACGTGCGCAACTTGCACACGGGCCCTCCAAGATTTTTCGCCCTTGTCCGAGAAGGCTAGGAGAAGATCTTTCCTACCAGAAGATCAGGGGTGTGGCAGAAAGACAGCAGTTAGGAGGAGCCAAGGAGTAGCAGTAGAAAGGCTGCAGAGAGAGTCAGGTACCCAGAGGAGGGGGCAAAAGAGGTGAGGGGGTGGGGGCAAAAAGTGGAAATGAAAGCAGACAACAGAACATTGCTAGAGAGCAGGAAAGGAGGGGAAAGGAGACAAATTTAGAGAAGAAAATTTTTTGGTCGCTACCCAGATTCGAACCCGGGACCTTTGAATGAGAGGCCAGCACCTTAACCTCTAGGCCACGAGAGCCCCCTGTCTAAGATTAGAGGCAATTAGAAGTATTACAAGAGAGTAACAAACAAACAAAAAAAAGGACAGGAGACAAAGACGATATGTTCGAGAGGATAGGAAAGAAAAAGCAAACTACACCAGAGCACCTGCCAACCACCCACTTTCATAGTGTAAGTCTCAGTCTGTCAATGTTTCTAAAGTTCTACAGGTTTACTTAAGTATAGCCGACATACACAAAAATCACAAATTTACTCAAACAAACAAGATTTCAGCATAGCTCTAAAGGTTATGGTGCAAAGACCTGTAAAGTCAAGCCCCTTCAATGTGAAAGTGAAAGTAGAAACAGACACAGACATAAAACTAAAATCCAATAATATACATCCACAAGTCGAAAAACACCTTGCAGGACAAACCATAAGAACATAGTTGTCCTTAGTACCTACACTACTACATCCTTAGGCATCAGTAAGTCTAGTAAGGGTGTGAACTCAATCAGTGCTACAGTCATGCAATGCTTACAAGGCAGGTAATTATCATTTAAAAATTGTCTCTGATTCCGATTTTCTACTTCCTGTCTATTCGTCATTCTTACATTTCGCATTTTAAATGAAAATTTGGTGTTCTGCTCACTAATGGCAAGGGCAAAGAATGAGAGACATGAGTCACTGACAATATTTCATTTAAGATCGTGATTTTTTTTTTCAAGGGAGACTATATACTTCACCCCCTCCCCATCTGCTTAAAAAGGCAGTAAACCTAAAATATATATAGTACAAAAACTATCAAATTTTACACATTGCACAGAACAGAGATTAAGGAAAAGATTTGAACACCACAGGAAGAATTTCTGATTTAAACCCACAGAATTATCTCCCTTTACACACAAAAATTGGAGTAGAATTAGTTACCGTAAAAGTAAGTTAAGATCCAGCATAAATATCAAAGTATCTGACTAAAACCACAAAACTCCACAAAACTGACCACAACCATACACCCGGGAGAACACAGGTGAAGATACCTTCTGAAATTTTATTTCACACAGATTATTCTTGGACTAAAAGAAGTTCATAGAAATAGAGAAATTGAGGGGAAAAATTACCTCTGTGATTTCTTCGTTTTCCAAATCATCAGCTAGACTTCTCATCTGTTCTCGGACGTTATCGGTGAAGTAGCTTTCCAGAGCACTGCATTTCTGTTTCCAGTAACCCTGCGGAAAAGCATTAAATGTTTGAAAAAAATTAAGAGGTAAATTTTTACTCACTCCTGCATGCAGATGCAGAGATGCACTGCTTTTGAGTTTGAGGGTCAAACTGATATATTTTTTGTTGCAGAACACGAATATGGCCACTAATTATATTACCATCGCAAATCAATTTTAATTTTTAAAATTTCAAATCTTAGAACTTCAAATAAAGGGGTAATACAGACATGCATGCCTGCTCCCCCCTCCCCCCACCCTAAATCAAACCCCCATCCCCATATTCTTTAAAACGTGCAAAATGTTATGACGCAATTACGCTCAGTACAATATAATTCGAGGGAATAAAAAAGCCATCAAATATTTAAAAATAATTTGCAATGAATAGCCTATTAAGTTGAAATTTGTGTAAAATGAACAAGAAAAGTGCTATACAGCTATACAATGCTTGATCGTGAGACGAAAGTGAAAGTAAATCAAAACCAAATTAGGCTTCAGATTTTTTCTAAAACATTGATTTTGACAGCGTTAAGGCCTATGTGTCTGCAGCCAAAAAATTAGGCAGTTTAGCATGTGAGAGTGAAAGTAAATATACCCATAATTGGTCACTTTTAAGTCAAGGGGACTATCCCGAAAATTGAAGGCAAAGTTTTTGCCCTTTGTTCAGTTTGAAAGTCAAGGGAATTTTCTCTATAACCAAACAAATACAAATATATACTGTCAATACACACTAATGGAACCAAATTTCTCTTACAGGTAGGGCAATGCCCACTTTTGGAGTAGGTCAAAATTTCTGGACCCCCCCCCCCCCACAATTTGCAACGGAATAAAGTTAAAATTCATGTAAAACTGAAACATAAACAGAGAAAAAAGTGCTATCACTATGATATAGAATACCCGAGCGTGAGACGGGAGTGAAAGGAAATCACAACTAACTTACTATTAACCAAGTACACTAAACTTTCAAGTCCTTGTAACTGGTCACTTCACTACAAAATAAAGGAAAAACAAATGATGTTACCAGGAAGACACAAAATCATTCACTTACTTTCAGTGTAATGTCTCCTTCGTTGTAATCCTTTTCAATGCTTTGTAGCCTGGAAAAACAAAAATATGTTACAAGATTCTATTTCCAACTAAATTTAGCCTTAACAAAATTGAAGAACAGAGAAGAAAAAAAATTTATGAAAACACTTTCCCTGCCTCTAAAATGTCTAATCTTAGAGGGCAGTTGACAGGTAGGGAGGCATTATAAGATTCCATTACAAGAAATGCCAATCTCAGGGGCAGTTGACAGAAGTAAGGGGAGGCTCTCTAACCAACAATGTTTTACACAAATAAAAAATGACTTTTTCCCTTCAGCTTCAGAATGAACAGTCTCCACCAGTACCAGCACTTTCCCAGCAGACCTACTTTAACTCTTTCCGGATGTAGTTGTTTTGGGGTCTAGATATGTAATTAACTTGTGACTCGATTTGGCTACACATGTGACGTACAAAATAACTTCATATAAGCATAACCATCACTCAAGACGTAACATATGATATATCAAACTGAAGGAAATTGAATAAGGGATATATTCCAACATGAAACAAGGATTAATTTTGAAAATAAGTATGCATTGCAAGGGTTAGAAATGGCGATGGTTGTGAGAAAAATAACTTTTGACGGAAAAAATAATGCACACTAAACATGCGAAAGCAAATCAGTATAGCTGTCTCAACATATAGGCCAAGAGCTGATTCCGTAAATTTCTGAATGTGAAGCTTTTTATTTGAATGCAATATTCCAATATTTGTTTGAGTATGATATTTATACTGAGTCTGGTTAGATCGTTCTGTTGATGCAAGACCAAAAGAACTAATTCACACGTTTTTCGCCAGACCGACGCTTTGACAAAGTGAAACAAGATGTTTTCGCTTCCTAAATCCTTTCCAAGTCTTCAATAAAAAGTACTTATAAATAATGGATCGTGTTAAAACGAAACAAAACTGAGGCACCCCATTATAGCCGATATATCGGCAATGCGTCCGCAAGGGGTGTGGACTCGTGCCGATATATCGGCGATACCACCAATACGTCCCGAAAGAGCCAACTGCTTACTCTTAAGGGGAGGAGCGACCCTTGATTTCGCCGATTTTGGGTCAGGCTATACATGCCATGCACATTGAGATGTTGGCTGATTTTTTAAAATCAACCAGTTTTTTATCTAAAAATAGCATGGAGACAATTGAGAAAGTCCTAATATTCTCCTTGTAAATTGCCATTGAAAACATGAGGGTGGGTTAATTATTGTTAATATCGAATTTTCACAATAAACAATATTTGTCGTTTTTCGCAAAATGTCTTTTTTTTTGCAGTTTTTTTCCCTACTCCTTCCTTAGTTTTCATCCTTTTGACATGACACTTTCAGAAAACAAATGGCAAGGCTGCCATCAATGTAAAAGAGATATTTGCGAAAAAAATAACACTTTTCCATTGGCAAGCAATTACGCAACCTAAATTTAGAAAAGTTTTTTTTTATACTTTGGGAATTTTTTTCTTTTTCTTTTGCACTTATTGAAAAACACTCACTGTTACGCTGATAGGGTCAGGTTAAGGTATACTCTCACCAAATTTGGTCAGTAAATAAGAAAGCCTTCTAAGGGACTTGAAATTCATTGTTTAATTTTCAAGATTGCAGCAGTTTCCATGGCAACTACTGTAGCTTATGTCAAAAATAAAATGGAAGTGGTTTGAGAATAACCCATGTCTCGCTATTCTCACCCCCTCGTTTTACCGAAAATGACCCTAGAGGGATCAGGGCTGAGGTTAGCAGGCATGACCCGGAGGGGAAGGTCAGGGGCAGATGCTCCACAGTAGAGCTGGGTCGCGAGCGCGAGAACAGATCTGAATCGCCACTCTTCCCCGTGGAACGCGATTCGTGATTCACTTCAGCGGAACAGTATTGTCTTCCGACTCACCCCCCCTGTCGCTGTCACCGTCTTGCGGCTTGTTTGTAACCTACTGCTGGGTCACAAGTCGAGTCGCAAGCACAAGAACGGAACGCTTTAGGCTAGTATGGCTCCCCTTATTTTTTACAAAGATGGTATAGTCCAACCCCCCCTATTAAAACAAAATGAACAGGTCCCAACCAATAAACAGATGGAATTTTATGGAGTCATTGTTGTAGCGAATCATGGGGGGGGGGGGATTTATGGGGTCGCTAATTGAGGTCGGTAGAGCAGTGCAACGAAGGGTGGATGGGGGATTGCGGGACAACAAGAGTGGAACTCGCGAAGTGGCGTTAATATGACACTGTTCCGTTTCATGCATACTACGAACCCGAGGCTTAGTGTTCCACGAGCGCTCACGAACTTGCGATTCTTTGAAGCCGACCAAATCGCGAATTGTCGATCTCAGATTTGGTGAGCAGGATCCAGCACTACCAGGGGTGAGAATAAAGGTGGACAAATAAAATTGCATATCAAGAGATTTTACTACGCCTAACTTATATGTGTACTTAGATTTGATCTTGGGCAACAAACATAGAAAATGGTCCTCAAGGGTTGCTCCTCCCGTTATGCCCCGAACAGCTGTCCATAATGTCAATGCGGGGTGCCAACTGACCATTGGGTGTCGGGTCAGGTCAGTTTGCTAGCCAGATTGAGGGCGCAAAGCCGCATTCACTATCGTGGCACAAGCCGATCGCGCCCAACTCATCGCCTAAAAAACAAACACATACATTGTAAACAGGCGATGAGTCGGGCGATCGACCCGACCCAATCCCACTTGCAATGCGCACCCGGCAGGCCCCAATACTAAAACCAACTGTCCACTGCAGATAGGATAGCGTCGATTGCCGGATTCGCGGGTTTGTTTTTGAGGCGACGAGTCGGGCGCAATCTGCTTGTGCCTAGATAGCCGCTTTTCACCCTCAATCTCGCTTGCAATCCGAACCGACCCAACCCCCCCACTCCCTAATGGGCACCCCGTATAAAACGAGGAAGTGGTAATTCTCACCCAGTGTGAGAATAAAAATACGATCCACCTCTCACCCCGGGTGAGACTGCCAAAATTGGCTATAATTCTCACCCAGTGTGAAACAAGACCTGTCTTTCCCAATTGGCCGGCTCTATTTCTCCGAACGTTCGTGAAAATAAACTTGAACTCTTTCTCCGAACGGTTTCCGTTCTTGAGATTTGTTGATAAAAGCGAATGCATTTAGTCACCCAGCAAAAACTAAAGGGAGTGTTTACAGACCCGGTAACCGGGAACTAAGTCATGAAGTATACAGACCCGGTAGGGGATCTTTTGTGATTTCGGAAAGTTTCAGCGCCCTTTTCGCTCAGGCTCAGGGTAGACCAGAGAGGGTTGGGTAGACCTAGGTTCTAGATATCTATGGCCTAGGTCTAGATACAGACTCTAAACAGACAGACATAAATCACTGATCTAGTTTCGAGGCCTAGGTCTAAATGAAGATTGCAGATGTCTTTTCGATGAACGATCGTTTTTCCTCCGTTTTGGATTAAGGGAAATCACAATTTGAAGAAAAGTTCACAATGCCATAATTTCAATCGAGCAGTCACACTCTCTATTTCTGTCTCTCTCCCCTCTTTTCTGCCTGCCTGCCTCTCTCTCTCTCTCTCACACACACACACAACCGGGCTTGTGTGCTGAAACTTTCCGAAATCACAAAAGATTTCCCCCTACCGGGTCTGTATACTTCGTCAAGACTTTGTTCCCGGTTACGGGGTCTGTATACACTTTGAAAACTAAAAGGCCGTCTTAATTCGGACTCGAGTCCGAAGAACATTTTTTCATATTCGGACTGCCGATCCGATACCCGCCGCCTCATTGATACGCCCCCCACCCCCCCATGTTTCCCACTTTCTTTGTTGTAGAAAAAGGTAAAACTGAAAATTAGCAGACCACCTGGCACCTGCATATTATATGAGCTGTGTAAAAAAAAAAAAGACCGATTCGTTCAAATACACAAGCCGGTGTCATCTCGATTGTTTATCAAGAAAAAGTTGTGTTGCTGTGTAGAGCTGAGCATATGGCAACTTTTGATTCCATAGACCAGCGCACAATTAACAATTCATTACGTACATTTACGTCAAGACTAGCTTATTATTATATAATAATGATCAGTTGCCGGGGGGAAAAAAGACTGACGCGTATGCGACGTTCAACGCCCCGACCGATAGTGCTCCCCCACCCCCCTCCCCGACACGCACACAGCCACACGTGTGCAAGCCGCCCATCCGACCCCGACACACACTAACGAGCCATCTTTAATTTCTTCTGATGACGTTTTGACAAATAAACATTTATTAGAAGTGCTATATATAACTTTTCAGGCCGGCCTCAAATTCATCATAAGATAAAAACTCGGCTCCTGAACAAAACGCCATTTTGCCCGAAGTGATCCCGGTCTCTACCCAGCCTGAGGCGAGTCACGAGTGAGGCAGGACAGGAAGCCATAGTCACAAGTCACAGGAAGTCGGAAGTGATGTCATGCTGGACAAGAATCAGAGTCCGAATATCATATTTTCATCGGACTCGAGTCCGAATAGTCACTTACTAAAATCCTTCACCTTACACACACACGAGCCACTCCATTCTTCGACTTCATCTTGTTTCAAGGGTTCATAGTTCATTGTTCTCTGACTGTCTCACAATCTCAGAAGCTGTGTCTTGTCAGTCACTGTGATTGTGCGGAAGGGGTGTAGACCTACATATTTATGGCATGGTCAACATATGTTATTAATTTAAATTCTATGAATTTGAATCTTGGGCTACCGAATCTTGAGAAATCAGAAATTCAAGATGGCATCATGCATAGAGTCTAAATTATAAAAATCGATAGAACCTATATGAAGTTATGAAGTGAAGTAAGTAGGTAGCCTACTCGGTGATCTTATCTTATACTTTAGCACGTTAAATTCCCAAAGTCTACTAGATCTAGATTCTAGATCTAGATCTATTCTATAGATCTAATCCCCGACTCAGACCTTCAAAACTTTGAACTGGGCCTAAAAATGTGCAAACTACCGTAATTTTGGAAAGTGGCTATTCTCACCCGCCCGGAAGTTCTCGCAAGATCAACTCCTCCCCTCTTCTCTCTCTCTGTCTCTTTTTGAATGGCCACCTCTATTCTCACCCGGAGTGAGAATAGTGCAGGCGAGTCTTGTGGCTATTCTCACCCGGTGCGCGTTCACCAAATTTTGCGTTCACCCTAAACCACAGAATTTTA